AGTTTAAGAGACTTGAATCTATAATCAGCAGGCTTCATCATGGCTGAGAGATGTAGTGAAACAAAGCTGATGAACTAATGGCAACACAAAGCTGCTAATGTTATAGGAGCCAGGAAACAGAGAAATCAAGCAACTAGTACTGGGATGAACTATGTTGTTTCAGGTTTTTATCTGTTTTCTATTTATCTTGTAATTTTGACCTGTGGGTATGTCTGTGGGGGTGTTTGCAGATATTTTGTATTATTTAGTTAGATTATTTATATTTGCTCTGATGTTTATCATTAATGGTGTGTTTGGTTGCTCTTCTTTTCCTCATTCCTTGGTATTTAGCAATATGATACTTTTTCTTAAATTTCTTTCATTTTATTTATTTTTGAGATTATAATATAATCACATCATTTCCCCATTCCCTTTCTTCCCTCAAACCCTTCCATATATCCCTCCTTGCTCTTATTCAAATACATGGCCTTTTTCATTAATTTTTTACATATATATGTAATTTACATATATATATATATATGGGTATACATCTATATATATTTATTTAACTGTAAATATATATGGGTATACATCTATATATATTTATTTAACTGTAATTATATATAAAGGTATAATTATATAATATGCACTTATTATCTGTCTGTATAATGTTACTTGTATGTTTTCAAGGCTGACCATTTGGTATTGGATAACCAAGTGCTATAATTCTTCCTTGGAAAATACTATTTCTCCTGCTCTCAGCATTTCTTACTTGCCTGCAGTCCTTTGTGTAGGGCTGCGGCTTCATGGATTTATCCCCCATCCACTTTAACATGTCTATTGTGCTCATTCAGGTTATGATGGTTCTGGTCTTTGGATGTTGGCATTTGTTTCTATAAGTGTCCCTATTATTCTTGCTGCACTCCATAGGTTTTGTAAGATACAATTTCTATAATTTGTTGCTTAATTGAATATTATTTTTCTGGATGTATTGGTTCAGTAAAACCAAGCTGTTACTATATGAAATTACTGGAAAATATTTCATGTTTAGTAGATAAGAATGTGTATTCAGAGTATTTTAGGAATGTCCATTTGGTCTAACATTCAATTTAACTCTGATAGCTTAGTGGCTGGATAATCTTTCCTCTGCTTCAAATAGGATGTTGAAGTACTCTACTAATATTCTAGTACTCTCTTATCTACCACTTAAGGGATTTTAATGTTTTAATTCTAATGAGTATACTTATTATTTTTTTTACTTTTGCTGAATTGATCCATTTTATCATTATGGAGATGATTGCTTTATGGAAGAGTACTTGTTGGACATGAATAAGACCCTAGGTACAATTCTAGGTACTGTAGAACCATAAAGAAGAAGAAGAAAAAAAATCCTTGTTACCATTTTATGACTTTCCTTGTTTATTCTTATCTTTTTAACTCAATTTCTGAAAGTGTATGTTATGTTTGATTCATTTTGCCTTTCATTTTGCTGGAGTATTTTATTCAATCTCTTAATTCTCAGTATATCAGTATAATTATAGGCAAAGTGATTTTTGCGTAAGAAATGTTTTCTGATTAGAAATACTCAATGATGCTGCCATATAGTCCATTTTGTTTTTATAGGAAAATACCTGAGACTAGTCATATTTACTGAATGGTATAATTCTTATTTATGAATACTGGAAGGTGCTGGTATATTTGGCATCTGGTAAGGGCCCAAACTCCATTTCCAAGATGGTGTATAGAATGCCGTATCCTGCACCATGATGAACACTCACTCCTTCCATGGCCAAAGTGGCAAAAAGTGATGTAAAGGCCACAAGGCTTCCTTTTTACACCGGCATTAATGTAACTGTGAAAACAGGCCTCTCATGGTTTAAACACATTCCAGTCGGTTCTCATCTCACAACACTATTATATTATGGATTAATTTTTAAGCACATGAATTTACAGGGGATAAAACCACAGTAAGATCTGACTAATACTATAGCCCTCTTTTACTTGCTGATATCATTCAGGTCTGACCTTACCTGACTACACCTTCCATTCTCGCATCCATTGTCATAAATGCTTCATGTGAGATGCCCCTCTTTGGATGTATACTCTCTATCCCTGATTACTCCTTTCCTTTGCAACTTATCCCAGAAGCTCCGATGACCTTGGATCTGAGGTACCACCAAATCTCTTACTAGTCCTTTTCTTCCCTTAGAACAGTGGTTCTCAACTTTCTTAATGGGCAACAATTTAATACAGTTCCTTGGGTTGTGATGACCACCAACCACAACATCATTTTCATTGCACTTACTGACTGTTATAAGTCCCACAAGAACACCCAGCTACACAATCATAATGTATATGCAGAGGACCTAGCCCAGACACTTATAGGGTCTGTGATTGTTGCTTCAGTGTCCATGATCCCTTATGAGTCCTGCTTAGTTGGTTCTGTGCCGTTTTCTAATGGTATCTTCGACACCCCCTGGCTCCTGCAATCCTCCTGCCATCTCTTCTGTAGGGTTCCCCTGCTCTGCTCAGTGCTTGGCTGTGGGTCTCTGCATCTGCTCCCATCATTTGCTGGATGATATTTCTCTGGTGACAACTGGGTTAGGAATTGATCAATGAGTATAGCAGAATATCATTAGTAGTCATTTCTGTCATATTTGGTTCTATTCTGGGTCTCTAGGCTGTCTGAAAACTGGTTCCTGGCCATCCAGGCAGTCACAGGCATGGGCTCCCTCTTGTGGCATGGGCATCAAGTTGGACTGGTAATTGGTTGGTCACCCCTACAAGTTTCTACACCACTATTACCCCAGAATATCTTGGAGTTAGAAGATTGTAGGCTGAAGGTTTGTGGCTAGTTTGGTGATCCAGTTCCGCTGCTGGAAGCCTTGCCGGGTTACGGAAAATGGCCAGTTCAGGCTCTGTATACTTCATTACTAGGAGTCCTTGCTAGGGTCTTCCTCATAGAATCCTGGGAGTTTCTACTGCACTAGGTTTCTTTATCACCCCCAAAATGCCCCCCAACTTCAGCAGTTTCTCCCAGTACTCTATCCACCCCTACCTGACCCCTCCTATTCTCACCTGGCCCATTCCCAGTTTAATTGCAAGATATGTTGCAGTTTTGAATGTCTCCAACAGATCTGACACAAAATGGATATCTAAAAAAGAGCTTACCAATTATAAAAAAAATACTATCAATCAATTTATTAATAGTATTTTCTGTGAGCACAGTGTGTGTGTGTGTGTGTGTGTGTGTGTGTGTGTGTGTGTTCAGAAGAAAATTTGCAAGCACTGTTGCTGGAAATTCAGTCTACTTTCTCTACCTGTCCTACTATTTTTTTCATCAATATACCAAATACTAAATATTTCTTTCTTTAAAGAGAGTGTTAATACATTGATATGAATTTATCTTATACTAAAAATCTCATGGAAGAGAAATTGATTTTATGACAACCTAACATTCTTTGGAATAATTCACTCATCTAACAATAAACCAAATCATGTCATAGTATCTACTTGTCATTAATTTAAATATGAGAAAAATATAAACTCACTTTCCCAAATGCAGATATATCACTATCATATTTGGCATGATTTTGATGGGATTAGCATTAATAGGGCCTATTATGTTTTATATTTTCTATCTCTGGACTGCATATTGTATTTTGGTGGTATCTTTGCAAAATCAAATAGCACCCTGATGACACAATTAAAGATAATAATCCCGGGATTTGGAAATGTTAGGTCATTACACTTCCTACTATTGTGAAATAAGGCTCAAGATCTTACATCAAGTACTGATCATAAAACACAGTGCACTAGCAGAAAAAAAACTTTATCAAACTATTTAAAGTTAACAACTTCCATAGTCATTAACCACTTTTATAACACTTTCCTCCTTCACTATCAAGTTGTTGGCCTTTTTCTAACCTAAAGATGAACTCAAAACTGAATGCTAACTTCTACTAAGGAATCTGTAACATAAATGAAATTAGTTTTACTATGTGGTCTTTCTAGAAATTAGTTGCAAACTCCATTTCTTAATCCTCACATGGGTAGAACAATCATCTTTTGAAGGAAATGATCACAAAGAAGTACTTAGAAATTAAAACACTTTAATATAAACTTTTTTTTCAGAATATAGACCGATTTCTATCAGCCCTTTGGATAACATTTTAAAAGTATATATCATCTAATTTATTATACACTAATATTCCACTTTCAGAACTAGAAAATACAAAAATACACTGCAAATTAGATTTAACAAAAAATGTTCTAAGATGCTTCATTCATTTTCATTGGAGAAAACAGAAACAGTAACTCACAACAGTAGTAAAATACCACCAATACTAACACAAATTCTAAAAGGAATGGATTCTGTGAAGTCTGGTCTCCCACAGGCCTGACCATTCTTCCAAAATCAAACAAGATGGGGAAAATTCAGGGTGGTATGGCTGTAGACTGCTGTGTAATTCACCATTTTAAGTACGTTATTTCTATGAGCAAACAACTCATTTTCATTGCAACTTGATGGACAAAGTAGAAACACCTCTACTTAAGAAAACCATATTATATATAAGCAATAGAATACATTTTCTTTTTGTAGAAAATCAGAGAAAGTAACTTTAAAAAAGCATATTGAATATTTTTACTTCATCTGGCTTTTGTTAGCAATTAACTGTACACATGTACAAATACACAAATAACACAAATTTCATGAAACCAAAACTTTTCATCCTTTCTTCATCCTTAAAGGAACAAAACTGCAAATTAGAAAACACTTAATATTCTGGATTTTCTTCAGTAGGTTTCTTCTTCTCCCATTCTTCTTAGTATTATGTTCTTGCTTCTTGAAGGCTAGGTTTAGAATTTGTGGTTCTTCTTTCCATTAAATTTTGAAAGCTGGGAGTGACAGAAAGGGGGGGGGAGAAGCATTTGAGAGAGGAGAGCAAAGCAAAGAATGCACACACACGCACACACACACACACACACACACACACACACGGTGGAGGGGGGATCTTCATGAACTGACACTGATTTTTACCACTTCTCTTCATTTGAAGTGCTTGATTTTTATATAAATTTCCTCGGATTTATTCCTACTGATTTTCTCAATTCACTCTTCTGTAAGTAAAACTAAAAGTTCAAGATCCTTAAGTAGGTTTACATCAAAACATTTCCTTAAAGGCTGGATCTAAGATGTCTTGTGTTTCTCATGTCCAATTTCCATTTTTGCAAACAAAAAACCCAAAGGTTTTTTTTGTTGTTGTTGTTTGTTTGTTTTTGTGGTTTTTTTTTTTGAGCTGATATTTTACCTGCCTTTCCTTTACTTCATCAGTTACTCCTGTCCTTATCTAAATCAGCATTATTTTCTTTTAGTCATTCTTGGGTATCCCATAAGTTCAGAACCCAAGAATTGACTCATCCCAAAGGATTTCCTCTTCTGTTCTTTCTTCAACAGATTTCTTTTTCTCCTTCTTGTGCTTACGTTCTTCCTTCTCTGAGGCTGCCTCATGTTTCCTTTTCTTTTTTCGATGCTTGATTTTCTCAGAACTGACCCCAGCTTTATCTTCCTCTCCTTTAGATTGCTCGCTACTCTTGTCTTTGTCTAAATCTTTATCCTGACAGCTCCTTTTCCTTTTATGCCTGGATTGTTCCTTCTCTAGCCTTTCTTTCCCTTCCCCTTCCTCCAGGTGTCGTCTTCTCTTCTGATGTCGTCTTTTATGACTTGTTTCATGGGCACTGGCATTGTCATACGAGGGCAGCTGCTTGTAAATGTCATACTCTACACTGTGTGAGTCAGGGTTATTTTCTTGCTGACTAAGGCTCAGGGGAACAGGATTTTCTGAGAAACAATCTCTCATGAACTGATAGTAGCTATCAGAGTCTAGGCTCTGTTGGCTCTCATAAGGTGGTAAATAATGAGGTAACTTGTTTTCTACAGCATGTGAACTGTTGTATGGATCTGTGTAAGTCTGGAAAGACTCACATGGGAATCTTTGCTCAAACATTCTATGATTGGATCTTCTGTCAACCATTTCTCTGTAATTATGGGTTTCAATAGCACTATCAATTCTTCTAAAAGAAGTCTTTGGCTTGAGTTCTCTAGACTCCTGCACCTTGTTGTAATCATCAAATTCATTTTGGAAATCATCATTTCTCCTCTTTGAATGAAGCGGTAACCAGTGAGGTAACTGGCCTTCCACTGGTGAACCATTGTATTGTTGCTGGTAGGTCTGTAGACACTCAGATGAAAATCTTTCTTCACATATCCTTTGTCTGTATCCAGGATCAACCCTTTCTCTGTACCTCGGATCCCTATACCTATAGTTTTCTGTTATCCGTCTAAAACTAGTATTGGGATCGAGTCCTCTGGCCTTCTGCCCTTTGATGTAATCTTCAAGCTCATCCTGGAAAGAATCATATATTTTTGACTGTGCTGGTAAACAATGAGGTAACTGGTCTTCTACCACTCGAGAATTATTGTATGGTCCTGGGTGTGTCCAGAAATTTTCAAGTGGAAGTTTTTGTTCAAGCATTTTATGTCTGGGTCTGGAATCAACCATATCTCTATACCCATGGACTTCCAAGTAATTATCCTCCATCTTCCTGAAGTGAGCCCTGGACTCCAGTTCTCTAGATTTCTTCACTTTGATGTAATCTGCACATTCACCTTGGTAAGACTCTTGCATCTTCTTTGAATTCTTTGCTTCACTGATAACATGAGATTCTCTACAAAGAAAAAAAATGCAAAGTTTTAATTACTCTGAATATTTTCTTTGCTCTAAAATATTAGTTTAAACAAAATCTACAAAGGTTGAAATAAAAAATTAAAACTGTAAAAAAATATAAAGCATGAGTATTCAGATATATTTCCAGAATTTCACAAGTTTTATGCAAAAACATTTCTTAGAAGATGGTGGAGTGCAGACATTGACACTTCAATTTTCTTCATGATACCGAAATAAAATCTCCTGTATTTCTCAGTTTAATTCATTGCTGCTGAAATGAAGAACTCCTTTTTTTTTTGTCCTGTTGTCCAGCCTTACTTCTGGATGTATAAATCCATCCATTTTACTGCCTCCAAAATGCCAACAGTCTCTATGATTCACTGGATATATATTGTCCAGACTAAAAAGATCAACAAAGAGACTTTAAACTGCACTGTTAGTCAAATGGCCTAAGCATACAATATTTTATTCAACAGTTGTAGAATACTTATTTTTCTCAACAACTTCTGGAACTGCACAGCCAGGGAAACATTAGAGAGAAGTGAAAAGATGCTCCCTAAAAGCATTTGAAGCTTGCTTTATAATAGGGAATCCATGCCTACTGTTGTAAATCTGCTCCAAATCCATGACTAAAGAGGTCTTAGACCCTGGGAAGGGATGGTAAGATGTTTGTTTAGTTAAATTGACAGCATCAAGCCATCCTCTTCATGTCTATGTTTACATCCACAGACAAAGGCTAGTCTCTGCCTTGAACACAGAGTTCTCTCCTTTGCAGGTAAATGCAGAGACACATGGCTGCATAAGGTGCTGAGAATAAAGGCTTGTCCTTAAACTAGACATTTACACCACCCACTTTAATACTCAAGGAATACTGGGGAAGATGGATCAGAAATAATATTAGGTTCTGGTGAATGGGGAGAGGAACTAAAATTGTATATTTTAAGCACAACACAAACAGGTTAAGTATGAACTTATAGCAGCTGCCACCAGGTCCACAGAAGTTGGGCCCTCCTAATTGTCAGCTATCAAGAGGAAAGGGATTCATGAGGTCCTACTGCATACTACTGATCTACTATCAACCAAAAGATTCTTGGATAGGGGCAATTGTATCCAGATGTTTACTCGATGGTGATTCCACAAGGTTCTGATGGGTAGTTCCCAACTCAAGACCAGGCAGGCAGCCCTCAATAAACTTGGTGGAACACTAAAAAGAACCAAAGCTAGTACACAGCAGGAAGAGAGTGAAGGTGGCTAGTAGGGTGTGTGTGTGTGTCGGTGGAGGGGGCTGATGGTAGATGTCATTCTGTAAATATGTTTCTCATACTGGTTAATGAATAAAGCACTGTTGGCCAATAGGAAATCAAGATAGGTGGGACTAGGAGACAAGGAGGATATAACAAATAGTAAGGAGGAGTCAACATGGAGAGTCTGGAGAAGGCAGAACCACCAGCTGCCTCTCATTGGTAAGACCATGTGGAAATACATAGAAATGGGTTAATAATTAAGACAGAGCTAGCCTATAAGAAACTAGTACCTGGCCAATAGCATTATATCAAATACAGAGTCTCTGTGCATTAATTGGGGCTGGCGCGGCAGCAGGACAAGACCAGCGGTGGGCGGAAAAACCTTACTCCTTACAGGGGGCTGACAGGAGAGGCAGGGAAGAGTAAAAGGAATACATATTGTACATGTACAAAATTATGAAAGAATAAAATTTACTTATTAAAGAAGAAAGGAAAACACAAGATAACAAATGTTGATGAGAATGCAGAGAAAAAAATGAATACACATTTTGGTGGGAATGTCAATTTGTGCAGCCATTATGGAAATCTGTATGGAGGTTCTTCAAAAACGAAACGTATAAATGCCATCAGATTCAATTATATTACTCCAAGGCACATAAGGACATAGGACTAAAGGATCCTATGTCACTTACAAGAGAGATGCATATACAGCAATATCATTCACAATAGCCAAGTTACACAATAGTTTAGGTGACCACCAGCAGATAAATAAAGGATATATTGTGACATGCAAAGAAATAGTGTTTAATTACAAAGAAAAATAAAATTCATTTGTTTGCTGCAAAAAAAATAGGATAGACATGGAGTGATTTCTCTTCATCTTAAAATCATGTTAATATTGACTAAAAATGGATCTGTATTCTGCATTCTAGGTATAACAGCATAACCTTCATTCTTATCCATTATATCTCAATATAAAGATGATGATTAGATCACTGAATCCTTGGAACTAAGAAAACCTTTTTGAGATGCCTTGAATTTGCATGGCTAGCCTGAAGAAAAATTTTCTTTTAGCATATCTACAAAGAAAAATAATCTTGTTTACTCAGGAGGGGGCACCAATTTGCCAGCCAGATAGATCTATTAGTTCATTATCTACTAGTCCATTACTGTGAGTAGAAAATATCCTTGGCACTAGTGTGTAATATGTTATAAATACTGCTTACCACTTCTAGGTCAGGTAATAGGAAAATGAATATCTAGAAAGTTAATAAAATATATTAAAGAGTATTTGACTAGAACCTTTAGTCATTGGTAACATGAGAATGTTTTTTAATAAAAAAAACACTTACTTAATTTGATGTTCACTTCCTTGCATGTGGGACCGGAACATATGTAAAGATGTAAAGGTGATACTGCAGATATGGCATACGTAGGTTCTCATTCTATATGCTATATATATAAAAAGAAATGAGAGCATTTAAGAAGATCAATAAGTAAAAACTTAAGAGTCATATAATGTCAGTGATGAATGATAAATTATTACTTGAAATTTCCCAAGAAAGACTGGTCCCAAGACATAAAATTCCTTGCTGATAGTCACAGATGCAAAGAGCAGAGATAGTATCTCTTAGCCCACACTTCTAAATTTAATTCCCAGAATTCTTCATACTATACACTTTATCCATATTCTTCATTGATTCCTAAGAATCTGTTATGTGCTTGCTTGCTGTTACTACATATACTTTATAGCAGGAATCTCAAACTTATAATGGCTAACAAACTTATTCTTCTTCTTCACTGATATTCAACAGCCTTTTCATTCACTATTAGTTATTCCTTTTCATTCACTATTAGTTATTTTCCTACACAACTGAACCCTGAAACGTCCAAAAATTTTAGTTAACAAATAGTTAAATTTTATTCTCTTACCTGAAATAACTGTAGTTCACTAGTTATCAAAAATAATTCCCACAAATTTTAGAAAAGATAATCATTGAGCCCCATGCATAGGATGAAAGGTGAAAGTAAAATTCTGAAAAGATGGTTGGCATTTAAAATGAGTAAAAATAAAATAAAACAAAAACAAAACCATAAAACCAAAACAAAAACTTTCTCAAAACAAACAAAAATACTGTAAAAAAATAAAAAAAGCTATATAAGAGCTAATTATTCTGCTTTCAAAGTAGAATTAGTTGCAGGAAATAAACTTATTTTCTAAATTGTACCATCCTTCCAATTTCTTCTTGGTCAAAAGATGAGCAACATTCATGAAACAAGTATAAAATCAACACTATTCTAGATATGGGGCAATAAATTGGTAGCACATAAATTTTAAGGACAACCATAATAAACATCTTATAAATCAAACAGTAGCTTAATCACTAAATAAGATAAGTTAATCATATTCAAGTTGACAAAAATTATTTACAGAAACCAGAGTAAAACAAAAATAATGATACTGAATAACATGTTCAGCAATCAACAGTTACATTAAATTTTGAATGAATGTTTTGATAAGGATACTCAGAACATCCTTTAGATATAGAACAGTCTTTCAAAAAATGGTGTTATAAAAACTGATTATCTATATAAGAATGTAGGTAGATTTCTGTCTTTCACCAGTTACTCTGATTAACTCAAAATGGACTAAAGACTTAAATAATATTGGCATAGTAGCAGAAACATATATTCAGGCAATAACAATTGATGAAAAAGAGGCCATAAGTTTCAAGGAGAGTAGGAAGGAATATATCAGAGAGCTTTGAGGGAGGAAAGGAAAGGGATAAATGCTGTAATTAAAATATAATCTCAAAACTAAACAACAAAACACAGCTATGAAAACACATGTAAAATGGTCCACGGTACTGTAATATGTGAGGAATTTTTGGAAAAAGGCTCTCAAAATTTGGGAAGCAAATGCAAAAACAAATAGGATTTTTAAAAAATATTAGAGCTCCTGAACAACAAAGGAAGCACACAATAGAACTTACGGACAAGAGGGAGAAAATACTGTGATCTGTATATATAACAAGCGAGTGAGATCCAGAATATTTAAGGAACTGCCAAACCTCAATAACAGTAACAAAAAACTTTTGGTTGTTCCTCAGAAGGAGACATCCAAATGTCCAATAAGTACATGAAAATTACAGAACATCACTAGTCATCAGGTAAATGAAAACTGAAAGAACAAGGAGATGCCACCATACCTGAAGAATAGCTAATATAAAAAAGCCTAAGGATATGAAATGTTGGTGAGGATGTGGAGAAAAATGTTGGTAGAAACCTAAATTAGAAAAGCCATTAAAACTATGGAGGGCACTTATCAAATAAGAAAAACTACCACATATTCTTGTAAATGCAAAATTAGTGTATATCCAAAGAACTAAAATCAATGTATAAGAAACATATGCATTCTCATGTTTATTACACTACTCACAGCAGGCAAGAAATAAAACAATTCAAGTACTCACTAATTGTTGATTGGATAAAGTACACACAACAGAATGTTATTCTGTCATGTAAAACAAAGCAAAACAAAACTAAACTAAAATCCTGTCTCTTGTGACAACATAGATGGAACTGAATGTAACTATTTTAGGTGATATAAGGCAGCATGGAAAGTACTATGTGAGCTTCCTTCAAATGTTATATCTATGTTAATACAATATAAGTTTAGAATAGAATTGTCATCAAGGCCAAGGATAATAGGAAGCAAGGGAATGACGTATACATGTTGGTCTATGTGTACTGTTTAGTGAGATGGGGGAAGTATGTCTGGGGTGTTACTCCATTGTATGATAATTAAAATAGATAATCAGTAAAACCTATATATTTCAAACAGCTAGGAAATGGATTTTGGAAAAATTCACTACAAAAATCCCAAAAATGCTTAACTTGTGTTACATGTTACACAAAATATACCCATATCAAGCATTATATTATACTACCACAACTACCCACAGCTTTAATGGTTTAGTGCGTTTGAAAACTCTGAATGAATGATTCCTTAAAATTATCTTCTGTCTCTATGCTCTTATTTCATGCTTATTAAATAACTTTGTTTCTAATTTGGTTTCCTGTATTCTTTGAAACCAGGAAAAATAGTATGGAATCACAGACATCCAATATCAAAAACAAGCAAACAAACAAAAACAACCAGGAACTGGAAATAATGTCTTCTGTTACTGTGAATGAATGGTAGAATGACAATTCACTAACATGAAGTACAATGTTTACCAAATTTCTCTGGTAAAAATCACCTGGAGAATTAGGTCTATATTCCTAAAACTCTTTCCTGGAGAATAGAGTTCAGTTTCTAACTGGAATTGGGAATTAGTTTTGAAAACTAGCACTGCAAGTAGATTATCAGAGATGTGATAACTATCCTGAATGGAATATTTTTACAATTCCTTGGTTATCTATTGGCCTCTTTCAAGTTTGTTTGTGAGTCATGGTTTGAAAACAATTAACTGAAGACTATGGATTCCCTACAAAATGAACCACTCAACCAGAAATTGTGGGTCTTCATAGCAACATTACCAGGAAAATATTGAGAGAGAGAGAGAGAGAGAGAGAGAGAGGGGAGAGGGAGAGGGAGAGAGAGCGCAGCTAAGTGATTCAGGATAAACAAGACTCCCTTGGCTTTTCCATACACTGATGTTTATCATTTTTTTAGAATAATTATATTGGTCAACTTCATGTGAGACCAATGAAATCAGAATCTCCAGGGGGTAGAGAAGGACTGTCCTTCTTGAGCATTCTCTACATAATTTTACTTTGCAGTCATTGTTGAAGGTCTAACTAGATTACTGAGTTTAGTGATATTCTTTGTGATTATAAAGTCTCTTGATTGTGTGTGTATATTTCTTTAGTATTTATAATGGTTACTGAACCATTTTCTGTTGAGTTCCTCTTGTGTTTTTTCCACAAATTTCATCAATATTAAGGTTCTAATAGTGGAAATACAGGAGTTTAGAAGGGTTGCTGGTCACATGTGAAAAGTCAAAGAGGCAATTCCAGAACTGTTGTAATTACTAGTATCTTAACTCTTGGATTTTCTACTATGTATCCCTTGCTGGACTGGAAATCACTATGTTGCTCAGGCTGGCCTCAAACATATAACATACAAACATATAATATACAGTAATCATCCTTCCTCTCCCTCCTGAGAACTGGACATGTACCACTATGTCCAGTTGAACTAGCTATTTTCGTAATGCTCAAATGTTTATGCTCAGGAGGCAGGAGTTATGACAGGACACATCTATTCTTTGTGCACTAGCTTCAGAAATTAGAGTAAAATGTTTTCAATATATAGACTAAATTTTGCTGATGCTACTTCATGGTCAGATAAGAACTTCAGAACTTCACCTTTTTTTTTTTTTTTTTTTTTTTTTTTTGGCTGCTTAAGGTTTTTGTAATTTTGACACAAACTAGGATCATCTGGCTTAAGGGAACCTCAATTGAAAAAACGGATCAGACAGGACTGTGAGCAAGCATGTGGGACACTTTCTTGATTAGAGTGATGTGGAAGAACCCTAGGCAAGTGGTGCTATCTGTATAAGAAAGTAGACTGAGCCAGTCATGGTGGCAAGCCAATAATCAATATTCCTCACAGTCTCTGCTTCAGTTATTGCCTCCAGGTTCCTTCCCTGAATTCCTTCCATAGCTGACTATAAATGGCAAGCTAAAATAAACCCTTTCTTTCCAACATTGCTTTTGGTCATGCCATTTTATCATAGAAAGCAAACTAAGACATCATTGTTCCCTCAGTCTAATAACCTTGACATTTCGGAGTACTAAAATGCCATTTCCCATAGCAGCAACAACAGTCCAAAAACTTCTCATTTAGACTCAGTTAAAATTTACACAGATGCTACACATTTCAGATACCCTCCATTGTTCACCAGCAGGAAAAATACTGAACAATTGGTAATTCATAATTCCTTCAAGCACCTATTTTTTAAAGTAGACTGCCACTTCTACTTTTATGCTTGCTTAAATCAACATTCTTTAAAATATTGGGTAAAACTATATGTCCCTACAAAATGTTTTAGTACTCTGAATCACACTCTGGCAGAAACAGAAATAGTACAAACAAAGGGAAAGCACATGCGGTAAAGATTCATTAATAGTTCACTGATTCACATACTAATCTCTACTAATGTAGGAATAGTTCTGTCTTTTTTTGTCTAGCAATAGAATCAGAGATAAATTACATGCCATTTCCTCCCTTAAAGACCTTAAACTGAATGGGAGAAAAAGCATGAAGAGAGATAACACAGAAGCGTTGGCAGTCTAAGGGAAGAAAAGGGCTTCCAAGTAGCAGCAGAACTTTTATGAATGAGTGTGAATTATTCAGAAGCAGGTTAAAAAATATTTAAGACAAGGGAGGAGGGGTATGAGCAGTAGTACAAAGAAAAGAAGTAAGATAATGGTAACAGCAGGTCAGTAGCAGAGGACAAGCATGGAGCTGAGGAAAATTAAAAGGAGATAGTTGTAGCATTTAGATTCCATCCTTAGAAGATGAAAAAAAAAAAACAGTAAGGAAATTTCAAGTTAGACTGTATCATGGAAATATTTGTATTTTTAACGAAACATTTCATTAATTGAATTGAGAGTGCATTCACAGAGGCAAAACCAGTGGGAGGGAAAGTATTTAGAAGACTGTGATTCTGTGTTTTCATGTTTCTTACGTATAAATTATTTATACATCTTGTTAAAGAAGTGAATTCTGAATAAGTAGGTCTATATGCAAGGCTGGATTCCTTTTCTTCTAATAAACTCTCAAATGATACCAACAATGCTGGTCTATACCTTACAGTCTAACAAAACTGAAAGACTATGTAAAGACCTATAATAGTGTAGGAAGAGTATTGATGGAGTTAAGGGGACAGTAATAAGTTAGGAGGTAAAATAATCACAACTTGGCATTTCATTAGTTTTAGAAACTTATGATGGTGTGGTATCGGGGCATTGACAGTTAACTATAGGTTTTTACTTTGGAACAGTATTGATTTAAAATGGCTTTGAGGTGTCCAAGTGCAATATTATCTACCATTTTGACATGCAGTCTAAATTTGATGGACAGGTTATGAGAATATAGATGACAGGTAAAACCAGGGGAATACAAGGAACTGTGCATGTAGAGTCAAGCCAATAATGGAACCTGGCAATACCTAAATTTAGACAGTGAACTGACAAAGATCTGATACAGAAAGCAAATAAAGAGAAATACAGGAGAAGCAGACTGTGAGGAGTTATGCAGAAAGTCTATCTAGTAAGAATAGGTGAAATACAATGGGTTGAAGAAAAGAAGGCAGAAGAAAGAATAAGAAAAGGCAGTAAGACACACTAGAAGTAAGAAGGTGCTTTTATGTAGTGGGGATCTCCATTCGGTGGGGATCTCCATTCAAGGCCAGTTTCGATGTTGTACATTAAATTTTACTAGCCTTCCTTAGCTCTAAGCCATCTGGTCCTTTTTTAACCTTTCTACTTCCATCAGTCAAAATCATAGAAATCTATGTATCATGATATTTCATTTCCTTTGTTAGCAAAATATGTGCATAAAATATATACTTGTAGTCTTTTGCAATGAGGTATTATTAACTAATTCACATATTTTCTTCTTTAGGGAAAATTGTATATTCCTATTAATACTACTAAGAATGACTATTTGAGCACCACAAATGAATATCTTTGTATCATACTAATTTGAAATATTTCTTTAAAGTAACATGAAATCACACACACAGACAGAAAGACACACACGCACACAGACACACTAGTGTATAGTTTTTGAAATTAAGAGACATAAAAGACTTTCTAGTTCACGTGTCTATAGAAAAATGAATCAAATTACATGGAATTGATTGTTTGAATACTATCAATAAAAACTAGTATGTTTTATAACAAACTTCCTGTGAAAACTTCTTCCGGATTGCCATGTACATTTGATTTTGCTGGAAGATATTTTTCTGCTATCTAGCTATAAATGTTTTCTTATGTTGTGGAGCATGAGCAGCTTATTAAAAGAAGCAGGAATGGGCTTACACTATCTTCTTGGATTATTCAGATCCAAAGCACTGCTGGAGGAAAAAGGAGTAGTTATGTCTTTATTCCTACCTGGAGGAGGCTTCACAATAACGGACTTTACAAAAGTTGGTGCTGCAGAAGTAGCATTGGGTTTATCTGTAATGAGACATTATCAACATGTGATCAGATATTAGAACTGCATTTGTTGTAAAGTATTAAAGAAATTCTCTAAAAACTACTGTCTTTCTACATTTTCAGCACAGGACTTCTGGATAAAGAAAATAAAGTTGTGAAGGCTCTCCTGTAAGATAAATGTGAATATAAGTAAAGATATGGGAAGGAAGTAATATGTTACTTCCAATATTGCTTGACCAATTTCATTTAAGGAAACAAAAGAAGTATGGGAGCCATTTCAAGATGATTCTTTTGTAGTTCACAGGATAAATCAGATGGCATGAACTTCTAAATCGACATTTTTCTCAAACAACATATCTATTCTGTCTTAATTTGTGATGTTTACACCAGAATGAACTCTTAGTAGTTAGTATCTTGAAACTATATGTTTTATTGTATGTCTCTTCGTATTTATTCTGTCTTAAGTTGTGATGTTTACACCAGAATGAACTCTCAGTAGTTAATAGCTTGAAACTATATGTGTTATTGTATGTCTCTTTCAATTGCTTTCATCCTTGAAGCAAAAATAATGTATTTGGACTTGACAGATTTTGTTGATCCCTCCTGGAAGGCATCACCCTCCCTGTAGAGTCGGGGGGAGATGGGATGGGAGGGTGGTCGGGGGGCATGGGAGGGAGGGAGAGGGAACTGGAATCGATATGTGAAATAAGAAATAAAATAAATAAAAAATAATGTATTTGGGGACTGTAGGGGAGATATTTATAAAATGGTTTCTCTTATAAGGAACAATGACTGTCCCTATTTAAATCAATAGATAAGAAAACAAGCATATAACAATTTGAGAAGCTAGAATATAAAAATTAATTTTAGTTTACCTTATTAGAAAAATAACTTATAATAATATACTGAGGTAATGACTTTTCTTTGGACAATACCTATAGGATATGCTGCACATGTATGCTGATGATTTTTTTCAGAAATCAGTTCCTTAGTGACATAGTATTAAAGCTCTTAAGAACATCCTAAATTGAGCCAGGCTGTGGTGGTGCACAACTTTAATCCCAGCACTGTGGAGGCATAGGCAGTCTGATCTCTGTGAGTTTGAGATCAGCCTGGCCTAAAGTTTGCCTTCCAGGAAGGTTGCAAAGCTACAGGAAACCTTGTCTCAAAAAAAAAAATGAATGTGCTAAATTATTTGTTGTAGCTGATCAATTGTCGTTTTTGATAACATGTAAAAATTTCAAAATATGAGCTGTTTACCTAAATATACCCTGCCAGTTCAATGGAAGCTCTTTATTATTATTATTATTATTATTATTATTGTTGTTATTATTATTATTATTATTTTACATATTGATCCCAGTTCCCTCTTCCCTCTCCTTCCCATCCTCCCATGACCCTCCCCAAATCCTCCCTCATCACATTTCCCATCCAATCTCCAGGGAGGATGAGGCCTTCCATGAGGGATCATTAAAGCCTGTCAAGTCATTTGGAGGGCCTAAGTCCTCCCTCCTGCCTCTAGGCTAAGGGAGTATCCCTCCATGGGGAATGTGCTCCCAAAGTCCTTTCCTGCACCAGGGATCCATCCTGCTTCAAGGGAAGCTCTTTCATTTGTTCATTTGAATAGTACTAGAATGAAGAGGCAATGTTCTATAATTCTCTGTACCTTTGGAAATTAGCATACTGTAATTATTCACTGGTACTTCATATTTATAGAAGTAAAAGGATGGATTATCAGTATTGGTGGAGATTCAGCAATTTAGTTTCTTTTTTACACTTTGGTAATAAGCATACTGCACAATACATATAGTATAGTATATTATAGTACAGTACAGAAGTACACTGTAGTGAGGACATTGATCTCAATAGACAAGTGAGATGAAGTTTTAGAAAGTAGTATATCAAGAGATTATACTAAGGGGGGAACATATTAAATATTCAAGATTTTTTATTTCTCCAACTGCTTATTGCTATTTATAACATATATCAGTCATTTGTTTTATATGGATTTAGTGAAACAAATAGCGGCCATAATATTTCTTAAAATTTAGGTTGCAATTATCTCCACAGACAAGGACACAGAAAGCGATTTACTAAGCAGAAGAATCAAGTTGGTTGAACTGTAGTGAAAGTTTGCTCCCCAAAACGGGTGGTACAGTGTGGGTTAGAGTACTTATCTGAGATAAAAAGATGAAGAGAATCTTACCCATCTTTGGTTGACATCCTGATGGAGATAGTGTATCTTGTTCTTCCAGTAATTGCTTTTGATTTTGTGGATGGCTCTTTCCCACATAGTGAGATTGAGCAATGGCTGAGGAGTCAAAACTCATGTTGCAGAAATCACTAAATTTGTTTCTGTTAACTTCTCCACTCTTGTACACCTGGAAAACTCACAATCAATTTTTTTGAAAGATTAAAAACCTGACAGATCAGAATTATAATATTCAACATAGACCACTCACCTGAGAATTCTCAACATGCATGCTTACTTTTGTACCAGGCACTTCGTTTTGTTCCCCATGCACTTGGAGATAGAACTTAACATTTTGAGCATGTATTTCACTCTGGAAAAAAAGATGTGACTTGATTTATTTAACAATAGATACCTAAAATGCACACCTCTCTGAATGTGAGGCCAGAAGACATCAATTATTTTTGTTTTTATTTTTCAAATAAGGTTTCTCTGTGTAACAGCTCTGGCTGGCTCTGTAGATCAGGCTGGCCTTGAACTCACAGAGATCCACTTGCCTCTGCCTCCCAAATGCTGGGATTAAAGACATGCAATACCACCACTTGGCAGGAAACATTAATTTTAGCACACTTTGCATTAATTTTTTTTTCTTTTGCAGTCAGGGCCTTGAACAGGCTAGGCAAGTGACATACTTTTGAGCTACATTCTCAAACCATGACTACAATAACTAGAGTTTCACTCCTTTTAAATCTCTAAACTTCAGTTAAAATAAATGACTCTACAACTTAGAAGTCAGTATTTTTGTGGTTTTGCTATCATGTTAGGTAAACATGATGGGTTTCATTATGACCTTTTCATGCATGTATATATTTTCATTATATTATGTATTATCTCTTTTCTTCTCTAGTGCCTGCTAATTCACTCTTCCTAACTATCCCTTCTACTGTCATGTCTTTTTATGCATGCCCCAATGATCTTGATTAGAATAACTTACACAAATTTTAATAAAAGATATTTACATGATTATGAGCCTCTTATCAGTGACTACACCACTGCAGGAAATCTCTTTCTTTCCCAGCAACCATCAATTGACAATAGATGCACAAGGAGCAATGAAGCCTCATGATCTCCTGCCTCCTAGCAACTGTTTACTGTCAATGCATCTGGGGATGGGTGGGGGGCTTATGAGCCTCTCCACCTTCATTTCAGGAAGCTGAAACAGCAAATCTATAATCTACCTTTATTATAAAGGAAGACTCTAGGAGTTCTACAGCATCGCTCAAAGTTGCTAATACCTACATTGTATTTACTACAACAACAGAGAATATAAAAGGAGACAGAAAAGAAAATGTGCAGTCAAAACCACTGACTTTAATCTAGACTCCCTAAACTTCAATTTGTATGTGACTATCTTTTCCTGAGCCAATATTCTTGTCTGTCAAATAGAAATGTTACTATATTTCAGGTTCTTAAATTAATCAAGTAAGATGACTTATATGAAGCTGACTTGCTACACTTAAAAATATGATTTCTCATCTTTATTCCCACTGCATTTAACCAACCTCATAATGTGCACTCCTTTCTGATTCAAGATGCAGTACAACTCCACATGCTTGACAAAAGTCATCTGTAAAATACGCAGATCTTTCTTGTCCATCACAGGTGGCATCTATCAATAAAGAAAACAATCTACCAATCTACCATATCAACAAAGTTTGAATTAAACAAATTTTTATGTTTCAGTCAGGGTATGTAGTAATAGCCTTTTCCTCAAATATGTCATTTAATGTGATATATTATATATATACATATATATATACACACACATATATATATATGTATATATATATGCATATGTGTGTTTATGTTTGGGTTGTGCATATATAGTTACCAATTTAGAATGGCAAGTCCAGGCAATAACATTGTAGTTGAATGGATACAAGCAACTTCATGAACTTTACAGAATGATTTAAGGAATCATTAATAGAAGGCTGAATTAAAAAGATAGCCTTGACATTTTGTTTTGCAGAAGACAATCCTAAGAAGGGTAATACAATTCTAAGGTATATGACTGTCACATAAGATATGGCTCTTGTGTTATTTAAAAAATCACAATTGTGTAAGATGGGTAAATTTCTCCAATTATTGCAAAAATACCAGGGCACTTATTTGTAAACACACAAATCTCATATGTATCCCTCCAAATATATAAAGTAACACTCATGTACTACAATCAAGAAATTTGTGCTGTAGTGCCTGTGTCCATAATAAATAGCACATACCCAATACTTTGAAATCTACACTTTAGGTCCACATTTATATCTAATGCTAACAGCTTTGGTGTATTCTTCTGTCAATGTTTATTGGTTTATCTATGGGTTATTAATCAAAATACTCATACCTTTGCTTATTATTTAGCTTTTTAAATGAGTAAGTTTGTATAATACAAACTTTAATGGATAATATACTGAATAATAATTTTACTAAAATACAATGTACTCAATTTCTAACAATGATAACATGAAATTTACATACATATACACATAGAAAGTTACAGAATGATCTAAACTAAATTGAAATGTATTTAGCTCCAGAATGTGGGGCAGACAAGAGAAGAAGATTTAACATTTTACACACTATAACTCTTGTTTTGTAAAAACCATGTAGGGCTTTCTATATATTGTGAGGATAGACATCAGCAAAATGGTAGGACCTCCATGTAAATAATTATCCATTCATAAAATACCTTTTCAGGAGTTAAGCCTTTAGAGTATAGTACTTGGGTATCTTTCAGAAATAAAATATATTGAATAATATAAGATGGAAACTTTTGTTTACCTGTATCATTCCTTACCCAATCCTGGGTAGAAGAGAATGAAGGAAGACACTTTGTGTGCGAGGAAGAAGCAGGTAATAAAAATTCTGTTTTATTTTGAACCCTAATAGTGGGAACACGTTGTTAAAACTTAGCACCTAGAAGGCACCCAAAAGCTCTAATAAAGCAGGTGTCTTCAGATTGAGTTTTCAAGCCAGCTCTGGGAACTCTTTGGATCCTGCAGTTTCAGGCTCTAGGCTGTATAATAGCTTCAGTTTCCAGGTTGCACTAATGTCTGGCCAGCCTCCTCTTAGTACCAGACTCACTCCAACAACCTTGGGTTTCAGGCTAGCCTGACAATCAGGCTGAATCCTGTAAGTCCTGCTTCATCAGACCAGCTCACATGGACCCCAACCTTAAGTGAGATACTGTGGACACAAGCTCCAGGCTTGTACTTAGATTCTATGTACTTGTACATAGAATCTTTAGCTTGCCACAGTGCCAACCAGGACATTACAGCTCTAGGCTAATATCTGCAGTGTCACCCTCCATTCTAGACACTGCAGTCTCATGCTCTAGAAGACCAGTGTTCAGGTCTATCTCACAGACCTTAGAGATGGATGTTTCCCCAAATATTCAGGTTCCAGCATCAATCTTGTGTAACCAGTTCCCATGGTGGCCCCTGGAACTTCAAGACCTAGATTAAGCCCTAGTCATTCCCCAGGAACTGAAGTCCCCATACTTCAGGATGCTCAGTGTCAGTACAAGTTCCAGAACCATTCTTGTCCACCCAAGCTCCAAGCCCTTCCTTAAAGGTCCCATCCCTAAATAACTGACTAATAAATCTACCACACTGGATTCAGATTTCAGGCCCAATCCCAAGAACGTGGGTATGCCCATTTGCTGACCTAAGGATGAAAGTGCACAAGGATACCAGCAGTGAGCATCCTATAGGATCACATAATGTGGCCTGTCACAAATTTTTGAACAGGAATTCCCTGGGTGGCAAAATAACATTACTACTGAAGGAAAATTTCTTGAAGAAGAAACTGTCATTCCTCATTTGGGAGACCCTCTCATTCCCATTCTTGGATGTTTTTTTTTTTTTTTTTTGCTTAATAACATATGTTTATGGTATTTAGAATAGTACTGTTAAGACATACTGACTTTAACTTATTTCTTTCAAACATGGTTTGGTCTATTTTTGTTTATCAAATGATATAATATGCCCAGGTTTAAGATCTCAGCCATTCTCTTCACCAAATCACTGATTCCTAACAATTCTGACTTATGATACTCTTTCTTATCACTACTTCTTTCAAATACCACATAACAATGCATGATTTACCTTCACTGATACTAATTAAGCTTAGTTTCAAACTATCATGTTACATATTCTGGGATGAAACAGACAAAAAGAAGAATACAATAGCCAATCTTTTCATGTTAAACCCTAAGGCCTTAACATAAATGTATACTTTGTGCGTTCTGAATTAGGAAAGTGGGAGCAAGTGAAATTTAAATAAACTGCCATGTTTTCTTTGATGGAGCACGTACCTAACACTTTGTTTTACTTGATTCTGTCAATTATATATACACAACTATTTTACATGTTGAAAATGACTAATGACTAACTCCAAGAGAAGACAACTGAATAAGGAAGATAGTATGTGTATGGAAAAAACTATAATCCCCAGATCAAAATGTTTCAGGGGATAAAAGATATAAGAGGGAATTAGGATGAAAATTATAGATACTAAGTCTTGTTTAAACTTTAAAATACATGTAAATAATGCTACTAAGTGATAAATAAAAATAAAATAATGGCATTTGCAAGAAAATGGATGGACTGGAAATCATGCTAGGTGAAATAAGCAAGATTCTAGAAGATAAATACTATGTGGGACCCAGATTTAAAATTATGAGTATACACTTGTGTATATGTACATGCATGCATGTATGTGTACATATCCTTGAGCTAGGAAGGGGATTGTGAAAGAGGAAGAAGAGATCTTGAGGAAGGGGTGGAGGGAAAAGACAAGGAAGCAGAAGGGGGATTATTTTCAAGAGATGGCAGAGAACCAACCATGAGAAGCACAGGCACAGAGGAGGGCAGTGGGGAAGGAGGACAAATTAGAACAATGTAAAACGATACATACAAGAAAATGCCAAGCTGTCATTGGTGTTTCTAATTTTAGCCATCTGACAGGAGTAAGATGGTATCTCAGAGTTGTTTTGATGGATGTTGAGCACTTTCTTAAGTGTCCTTCAGGATGTGCAGAAAGGGGAACACTCCTCCACCACTGCTGGGAGTGCAAACTTGTACAACCATTTTGGAGATAAGTATGGAGTTTCCTCAGGAAAATGGAAATCAGTCTACCCACAGGACCTGGAAATTCCACTCTTAGGCATATACCCAAATGATCCACACCTATGCAATAAAGGCATGTACTCAACTATGTTCATAGCAGCATTATCTGTAATAGCAAGAACATAGAAGCAACCTAGATGCCCCTCAACTGAAGAATGGATAAAGAAAATGTGGTACATTTACACAGTGGAATACTACTCAGCGGGAAAAAATGGAATCTTCAAATTCGCAGGCAAATGGATGGAACTTGAAGAAACCATCCTAAGTGAGGTAACCTAGTCACAAAAAGAGGAACAAGGTATGTACTCACTCATATATGGATTTTAGACACAGAGCAAAGAATTACCAGCCAAAGAAACTAGGATACAAGGAGGAACCTAAGAGGTTCATACAAGGTTCCCCAGAGAAGGGGAAAGGAGCAAGATCTCCTGAGCATATTGGGGCATTAGGAGAAAGAGAAGAGGAGGAGATGAGAATATGTGGGAATAGGAAGATTGAGTTGGGGTACAAATAGACAAGAGTAAAAAAAGGAGGATACTATATTAGAGAGAGTCATTATAGGTTTGAAGAGAAAACTGACTCTAGGGAAATGTCCAGAAACCTAAAGGATGACCCCATTTAACAATTTGAGCAACAGTGGAGAGGCTACCTTAAATGCCCTTCCCTGATAATGAGACTGATAACTAACTTATATGCTATCACAAAGCCCTCAGCTGGTAGGTAGCTGATGGAAACAGAAGCAAACACCCATAGCTAAACACTGAGCCCAACTCCTGGAATCCAGTTGCAGAGAGGGAGGAGTGATAGCAAAAGGGGTAAGGACCAGGCTTCAGAAACCCACACAAACAGCTGGCCTGAACAAGGGGGGGCCTAATGGACCCCCAGGCTGATAGCTGGAAAACCAGCATTGGACTGACTCAGACCCCCTGAACATGGGTCTCAGTTGGAAGGCCTGTCTAAGGAACCTCTGACAGTGGAACCAGGATGTAATCCTGGTGCACAAAAGGACTTTCGGAGCACATTCCCCATGGAGGGATCCTCCCTTAGCCTAGAGTCAGGAGGAAGGTCCCAGACCCTACTCCAAGTGACTTGACAGATTTTGATGATCCCTCCTGGAAGGTATCACCCTCCCTGTGGTGTGGGAGGGGATGGAATGGAAGGGGGGACAGGCAGTATGGTAGGGAGAGAGAGGGAACTGGGATTGATATGTAAAATAAGGAAAAATAATAAATATACCCACACACACAAAGAAAATGCCAAGATGAAACACCTTCCATTGTGCATTAACTAAAAATATCAATGCACATTTTAAAAATTAATAATAAAATATTTCAAGGCAGGCAAGAATATAAATAATAATGGAAGGCTCAGAACAGAATCAAATAATGACAAGCTACTTTAGGGTATTTGAATTTACATTAGAGAGAAATGAGTGACTCAACATGGGTATATCAGTTAGCAGTCTCTTGTAGGCTTGAGGCTT